GCTCTACCTTTTACCCTGTTTCCGCCCTACCCCTGTAATCAATAAAGTTCTCCTTTGTGACCGGTGTGGGAGACTTATTGAGGGGTGGGTCTAAATTATGCCAAGGAGGCCCCTTAGGTCGGTGGACTAAGGGAGGCTTCCTAATAAGCCCCTGACTTGGGGAAGTGCCCCAAGTGCTTATACTGGGTCTAGCACCCATTGGACGATCAGGCCTGTGTTTTCCAAGGTGCGCAGAGCCAGAAGTGAGTCCAGAGCCTTGGATGGTGGCAGCGGGAACCCCAGGCTAGCGGGTGTGCTCCAGGGAAGGGGTCGGCCGGACGGGAGGCACCCTAAGGGAGGCACTCGGAGCCTGGAAGGTGGTCGGGCGCAGGGAGGTGGGCAGCTCAACGCAGGAGCGCCCCCTACTGGCCCGCCACAGGGGGTACGTCTGGGAGCCGCGTTGACGGGAAGAGATTGATGATTGATCAAGTCACCAATTTACTCTGATGCTTGTGTGCAGAGGTCTTCGATTTAGGCGGAAGTTGTTAAACTATTTATAGACAGAGGTAACTAACGGAGGTGTCCAATGATGGACTGCTATGTGGAATCTTTAATTATCTGGCAAGCAGCAGTTCTTTGTGCTCTCAGGTTGCTATCAGGTTACAAGGTAGTGGGTCAGGTTTTCTGTCTGATACGTGAGAGGGGTCTGAGCTTGCTTCTTGACCAATTGCAGGGATTTATGACAGGGCTATCCCCTTTTACTCGGACCAATCATAAATCACGCCTAAGTTTCGTTTCTTGGTTGTGATGTGGGCATAAATTTAAGTTTCTTGCTTGGATTTTTTTTTTTTTTTCAGGAACTTCTGGACAGAGATTTTTTTTAACCCTTAATTGACTGCTGTGTGCATCACTTGTTAGTGACATGGGCACTGATTAATTTGGTTGTGACACCAGGGACAGCCCTTTCCTCTGTGTGCTATGGGCTAAAGGAGCAGCATGCATTTTGGGGAGGACAAAAGTGGAGGGTCTGGCTTAGCTCTGTCAGAAGAGAACGTGGGCCAAATGAGAGACCTGCCTATTTGGATTGAGAAGAGGCTGGATCATGCAGGCAGGGATGGGAAGCATTTGGGACTTGGAGACAGGTTGTGGGGGGGATGCAAAGCAAACAGAGAGAAGAGTCTGAGACAGCCTGAGACTGTGGCTGTGAGGGGCAGTGACAGAGGAGGGCTGGAAGGGGGAGGAGGAGTTTTCTTTGGCCTCCATCCTTCTGAGTTGAGGAGGAGACCGTCTAGACTGAGATTTATAAGGAAGGCCAGGTTGGGGTGGAGTGGGAGGAAGTAGCTGAGGGGTATGAAGTGGATGTGAGAGCTGTTAGCATCTGATGCCAGCTGAAGACTATGTGAAGAGATGACTGGTGTGAAGGGAGAAGAGCAAGGAGGACAGAGCCCTGGAGAAACACCCACAAAAGATAGGAAAGGATTAGGGTTAGGGTCAGGGTTAGGTTAGGATTAGGATTAAGGTTAGGTTTTAAGGTTAGGGCCAGATTTAGGGTCAGGGACAGGGACAGGGTTAGGGTTTTGGGTTAGGGTTAGGAGGCACATCTACTAGACGAAATGGTGAAAGAGCAGGCAGAGAGGAGGGGAAATGTGCCTGCGGAGCCGAGTGAGAAGTCATTTTTCTGGAGAGGCATCTGGAAGGTGGCCAGGGTGTGTCATGGAGCCAGGTAGCCCTGCTCTGTGCCCAGGGTGTCCATTCAGAGACTGGGGTGCAGAGAAGGTAACCCAAGGCAGCCAGGACAGCAGAGCCAGGTCCCACATGAGTCCCTTGACCCAGTCCCTCAGGGCAGGATGTCAGTGACATCATGGCTTCTCAGGACAGTGGATGGGCAGAGATGCAATAATGGGACAGCCCAGGGGTAGCGTAGCTGGGCCTCTCACCCTTGTATCCAGATACAAGGGCTTGGGACCTTCAGTGGGTGTGCAACTTTCTGCTGCAGTAAATGACCACAAAGGCCAGAACATGTGATGAGCCTCTGCCACCCCTATATGTCCAGCCCGGAGTCTCAGCTTCCTGTGCTGGGCTGAAACCAGCAGCTATATCCTTCCAGGGTGTGAAGCAACAGGGCTGGAGGATGGTGCAGGGTGTGTTGGAGGACGCTACACAGTCTTGAACCCGGTGATGATGAATGCACCAGGTCACGGCATGTCCAGATGCTGCAAGACAGAGCCCATCTATACCAGGCTGAGACAATGATTTTGGTGTAAGGGAAAGGCTTAAGGACCTCTGTGGCAGGACGCCTTTAGTGCCTGCCACTTTAAGAGGCTTGAACAGGCTGTGGAGTCGCCAGCAGGTCCAGTGTGGCTTAACAAGGTGATCACATGACTTCAAGAGGGCTCCTGGATTTGGGGGGTGGGGTTGGGAAGCCTCAGTATAGACCCAGGCCCTCAGGGGTAAGTGGGCAGTTGTTGCAGGGAGCCAGAGGAATAACATTGCCAGCTGCAGCTGCTGCTCCCAGAACACCTGGAAGATGGGGTAGGAACTATGGGGATGGAGGACGTTCCTGGTCCTGGAGTATACCAGGCTTGCCTTTTGGAGCTTGGGTTGAGTCCCAGGTTTGAAATTTTGCTGTTTTGATTGGTGGAGTCCATCCACCAATCAGGAGGCAGCAAGAGGAGTTAAGTCATGCCCCTTTCCTGAGGGGAGGGGGAGAGGAGCTTGCCCCCCCCCCCACCTGATTGAAAACTGCAACACTGCCAGGTGGGGAAGACTTCAGGGGCGGAGCCCTGGAGAGTATAAAAGGAGCTGAGTGGCCAGTCTGGGGGGGGAGACATCCCGGACAGAGAAGAGCGAAGAGCTGGGGAGAGCTGCTCAGCAGGCTGAAGCAGTAACCTGGAAGCACCCCTGAAGGCTCCCATTGGCAGGGAATGGTGGATGGCTGCAGTGGCTAGGCTCTCGGTGTGCAGCCCGGCACTCGGCGTCCAGACCCTGGGAGCTGCATGAGGCAGCTCGGGTCTGCAATCTCTGGCGTGCAGCCGGAGACACAGTGCACAGGCCAGTGCATGGAGGTCACCTGCCAGAACGAGGACGGGAGCTCAGTGCAGAAGGCACTGCGTAGAGGGTCCAGGAGTGGACTGAGCCTGGTGCTGCATGAGGCAGCCCAGGCCTCCGACCCGTAGCAAAAGGGTTGAGTCCAGGAAGCCAGACTGTGCTCAGGCTACCGAGCCAGCAGACAGGGCCAAGCCAGAGGCCCCAGAAGCCTGCATAGCAAAGCCCTGCTCCAGAGGACAACAACCCCCCAAAGCCCACCGCAGGCGAGAGAGCAGCTTGGCGCAGAGGACAGGGGCCACCCTCCAGGCCTGGGAGCCATGACTTGCAGGGAAAAAAGGATTCCCACAGGGGAGGAGTCCCCACTGGTTAGTTAAGGGCTCCTGAAAGTGGAGGTCCCACTAGGAAGGCCCCCCTAAAGTTACCAGCTTCCTTGAAGGGCTTGGGAAAAGCCCAAGGGCATTGGGGTTTCCCCTTGGGATTAAGTTTTTCTTTGGCACCATAAGTGGTGTGATGTCATGCCTTATATTTTGTGAACTCTCATGTTTGTAAATTAGTGGATGAGTAGAGTCCTAGGGATCTGCTGGGACCCCCTTTTGCTATTATTTCACCTGTTGTTTATTTGTATTTATTTGTGGCTTATTTATTGTTCACCCATACTTATCTATAGTTTATCTGTTGGCTATCTATGTTTATGTTGGGGTTTATCTGTTTCAGATAAGGGCTGGAGGAAAACTGAGCAGTCTGCAGTTCCCCCACGGCACGCCTGCCAGCTAACAGTTCCCTTCCCTTGGAGAAGGGGAGTATATATCCGAGTAAACCTGGGGTATAGGAGCATGACCTAAAACTGCACCCTGCTAGGTAGGATGGTGTGGTGGGGCTGTCTGTGGCAGGGTGGTCCCCAGAAAATGCCACACCAGTACCTACCTCCCTAGTGAAAGGTGTGTATGGGGTGCCATATAGCCTCAGCCCCCATGACCTGGTGGGTTACCCCATAGAGGGCACAAGTGAGGGGTTAAGGCATGTCATCAGAGGCCTGAGGCCCAAGGGGTGTAAGACCTAGTAGCCCTGGTGAGGGGGCGGTGTAGTGGCTCCAATGAGGGGACATGTGTAAGCAGTAGGCCTTGTAGAGTAAGGTCTGTGTGGGCAGGCCTGAAGGACTGTGCATAAGCCAGCCTTAGAGATCAAGTGAGCTGTTTGGAGGGGCCCAAGAGGGCAGACCCATATGGGAGAGTGAGGACAAGCAGCTCAGTACCTACCCTAAATCACCTTGCTGACCTGTGCTGGGGCCAGGAGCAGACCAGTGGAAGGGCCAGAGTGTCCACCTTGAGGGACGGCTAGAGGCTAAAGGCTGGGAGTCCTAACCTGCCTAGAGGTGAGGCCAGGGCCAGTGAGACCAAAAGTCCTGGAGAGGGCCACAGCCACAAGGGAAAAAGGGCTTAAGGAGTTTTGCAGCCCAGAATGAGGGCAGAGTAGACCGCCTGAGGAGGAGGGATCTGGATGGGGTCTGAACATCAGGCAGGCATAGAATGAGGTCCATTGTGGGCCAAAGCCACTTAGCGATGCCACCTGTGAGGCATGGGACATGGTATAAGGTTCAGTTTGGACCTGTGTATTACACCTTTGGCATTGGGCAGTAAAGGAGAAGCCTCCTGCCTTAGAAACAGCTACTTATGATGTTACAACAAAGGGGTGGCAGGAAAGACAGGTGGGCTAACTACCCTAGACAGCTGGGTGGGCCAGTGATTAGACTGACCTCATGACAGCCTCCTGTCGCACCCCTCTTCCACCTGGTACATAGCAACTCCAGCCCCAAACACTGCTCTGCTCTCTGGCCCTTCAAGACTCACCCAATGCCTGTGGGAGTTGACAGAAGCTGGATAGTGGGATGTGTGCAAGAACCAGGGCCTCTGCAGGACACTGTCCCCAGAAAATCTCTTCAAGCTCCCACTCAGGATTAGCAGGTTGGAAAACTCATCTTGCACATAGTAACAACCCCAGGCCTTGCATCAGGTGTCCTCTAGGGCCAGGAGCTCTCACTAGGCCTGTTTTGGGGAAACTGAGGCACAAGGTGGGGTAGGGAGCAAAGCAACTCAGCCAAGGTCCCAGCAGGTCCTGGTCTTTGGGCACCCTGTTCTGTGCTTTCTGTTCTAGTCCAGGCCATCTGTAGTAACCATGGGACCCTGGGAGCCCTGAACATCGATGGAGCTGGGGTCAGGGTCATGTTGACTATTGAGTGCAGGAACCTGGAGAAGTTCTGATCTGACAGGATCCAGAGTCTGTGCCCCCTGCTTCAGAGCAGATCAGCAGGTACCTGCATCCCTATCTTTACAGCAGCTTCTGCAGTAACTGAGGCTTGCTGCCTGTGCCCACACCTGAGTCTCCTTTCCCTAACGACACCTGCATAGTTCTCTCAGCCTTTCTTCACAGGTTGCTTCCTAGCTCCTTCCTTATCTTTGGTACCCACCTCTGGATCCTTCTAGTATCTCCCCATCTTTCCTGAACTGCAGTGCCAGGGCTGTGCGCAGTGCTCCAGTGGGGCCTAACCAGCCCAGAGTGATATGGAAGGGAACAGACAGGCCTTGATGGCACTGTAACATGGGGTAACATTGAGGATCACAGCTCACTACCCCTGCCCCATGGCCCTCCCCACACTGCTTTCAAGTCCCCATGCTCCTTCCTGTTCCCCTTCAGCTAGTCCCGAATTCTCCTCCCATTTGCTGATGCATTCACACTGAGCTCCTACCTGCAGTTACTCCAGCCCTATCTAGGCTTCTGTGGCCATGTAAAGGGGTATTGAAGTAAGTGAATACTCTGTCTGGGAAAGGGACTGTCTCAGCTAGTGTGTGATCCCTGCATTAGCCTTGCTGCTAGCATTTCCCCCTACTCTGCAGAGAGTGGCTCAGGCATATAGCCAGAGCACTGTGTTGGGAGTGATCTGTTTCCCCAGGGTCTCTAAGGTTGCTTTAGTTTATGCAATGACCAAAGAAGGGCCATGAACCTCCCCAGATCCCATGAAAAACAAATGGAAATTAAAAATAGTTTGATCTCATCTATCTAGTGCCCCAACGCAGGAACACAGGGAGGGAGAATCAGGCCCAGTTCACTTGTTACTATGGATCACCTCTATCTCTCTACAGCTGTGGCTGCAAACTCTGCCTCATGGACTGGTGGCTGCATGGGGACAAGTGCTACTGGGTCTCCACAAAATATAAAATCTGGAGTGAGAGCCTTGAGGACTGTGCAGCCAGGAGCTTCTAGCTGCTACTAATCCAGGACAAGGTGGAGTTGGTAAAGGGAATGACAATGTCATGCAGGGGAGGGGCCTTGGGGACAGACCCCAAGGAACTTGGGAGGATTCATTGCAGGGATGGGGCTTTCAGAACTCGTGGAGTGAGTGGGAGGCTCAGTACATGTAAGTAAGAATGCTGTGTCCAAATTCCCTGGGCAACTGTGACATCCTCCCCCTTAATCGCTAGCCCCAAGACCAGAGTGACACAGGGGCAGCTTAATACCATCCTAATGGTTCCCCTTGTGGTTTTCTGCCAAGAAGAATTAGCTGAAGCCAAAGATCAGGCTGTGAGACAATGGATGGGAGATAGGATAGGTGTGGGGATGAAGCCATGGATAGATAGGCAGAGGAAAATGTATGGGGAGTAGTGTATATAGGGACAAACACTAGTTTGGTGAAGACACTGTTAAGAACATGGGAGCAGAGGTGTACCAGGCAGCACTTACCCATTTCCTGTCTCACATCCTCACAGGAGTCCATGAAGGGGCTGACACCAGCTCTCACACACTTCTGGATTGGCCTGTCCGTGCCCTCCCTGGAGAAGGGCTGGACCTGGCTGAACGACCCCCAGCTTCATACAGCCCTGTGAGTGTTTTCTGTTCCAAAACTAACTATCTCTTTTCAACAGAAAGTGGCAGGGCAGTTGGGGAGACACTGCAAGAAAGTCCAGCAGCCCTGGGATACCAGTCTGCTCAGTTAAGGGGAGATGGGACACCTGGGAGGAGGTGACACTGATGCTGGGGAGACTGCAAAGACCATAGATCTAGGAGTCAGGGCAGGAGCAGGCAATGGCACTTTACAGTATTATGGGGGGGCCGTTTCCCTGACAAGGACACTCTGCTCTGATCTGCAGGCTGCCAGTACCCAGCCTGGCAGAGGACAAGGTCTGTGGAGCAGTGAGAGGGGATCAAATTCAATCTGAACTCTGCAACACAGAATTTAAGTGGATTTGCCAGAAAGACGCCAACCTGATCTGACTGTAGCTCTGATGGTGCCTCCTAGGGCCTTATTTGATGGTTAGAAAATGATATTTAGAGATTTGCTTTTCTGAATTGACTTGTAGGTAGAGTAGATATTGCATTAGAACAATGGTCCAGGAGAACAGCAAGGATTAACTGGTTGCTGAAAGCCTGTGTGAGACACAGTTTCACAGTCTCAGTCTTCAAGGCAGACACCATGTCTGAGGTCCATGGACAAAAAGGCTTGGAAATTTGAACCATATGCTCATTATAGAGATAAGGATCTCTGCAGCATTGGCTAGGTCACAGTGCCCAGCTGCAGAGCCCCTGGGATTTCTGGTTTTGGTGGACTGACCTAATTAGGAGGCCAGGGCATGTCCAAATTAAGACATTGGCAAATGACCAAATTAAAATGTGTGCATGTGATGGGTTTGGGAAACAAAGGAATATGCTGACAGAACAGAACGTGGACAGTGTCAGGGAAACCAACCAATGGTACCCAGAGATGAAGAGTCATTAGAGGTGGGAAAGAATATAACAGGAGGGATTTCAGAACAGGAAAGGGTCCCCAAAGGGGGAACCTGAGGCCACCATGGACAGAGGGTACACCAAGAGCCTGCGTGGCCCTGGCCCTTGACCTCCAAGACTTCTGACATTCAAGCAAGACCAAAGGGTGAAGCTTTCATACTGGCCAGATGTACCTTCCCTCTGTGACAGCCCTAGGACTGGTAGATATAGAATTGGGGAGCAGGGTATTTTATTTACCTTGTCTGCATTACTTTTATTTCTATCAGTGTATATCAATAACATTTGCCTATTATCAAATGGAAGAAGTCATGGTCAGCCGGAGGGTTTGGGTCTGCCCAGAGCAAGGTATCTGGGTCATAAATCCAGAGCCAACATGCTGCTCTCATCATTTCACACTTGGAAAAACTGAGATGTGGAGACAAATGGACCTGAGTGAGATTGGGCAGCAGTTGGTGGCAAAGGGAAAATAGAACCTGGTGTCCTGACTCTCAGCCTCACTGTGCTCCATCCTGCTCGACCCCAGTCTCATCTCACAGCTGGGATAGTGCCCAGGCATCCTGAGTCCCAGCAGCCCTCACCTCCAACCCACTAGATCCCATTGCCCACTGGGAGAGGTAAATTGCAGGATGCACTGAGCTGAAGAAGAGCATTGAGAGGCACAAGCCACTCAGTGCTGGATACCCATGTCCGCCACAGGGTGATCAAGAGCACCAGATGCCCTGCACTGAGCAGCCCCAGTACCCAGCAGAGGATGCTGTGCTGGTTTCTCAGGCCAGAGAGGGCAGATGGGAGTGACCTATCCTGCATCTGTAGAGGGATGGACAAGGGTCCTGCAGGTTCCCACAGCTCCATGACCATGATGCATAGTGGGACCACCACAGGATGGGAGTGCCCTCTAGAGCTCCTGCCCTGACCCAGACCTAGAAGTGTGCTAGGCCACAGGCCAGCTCCATGGATGAGTTCCTACATCCCCAGGGCTCAAAAAGCATGAAGGGAGGAGGAAGCAGGAGTGGTGCAAGGCTGTTGCATGCCCCGGGCACTGCCCTTGGCAAGTAGGGACTGGGAGTGCGTGGGGGGATTATGCGTGTGGGGGAGGCTGTGGATGTGTGAAGGGCCTGTGAGTGTGGGTGGGTTGAATGGGGGTGGGGCTGGTCATGGAGCATGGTTGCCTTACAGGGCACACAGCACCTGCCACCCCCCCACCCCCCGTGCTCAGAGACCACTGCTGCCAGAGTCCCCCATGGCACGGCATAGCCCCAGCTGCCTTAGACCTAGTACCACCTGTGCCACTTGTCGCAGGCCCATTTTGGCCTGCTGCAGGGCCATGCACCTTCAGACAGCACCAGGCAGCTCAGGCTGTTACCCGGGGGCCTGACACCATTTGCAGGGACCACGCATTGCACTGGGCTGAGACCTGGGCCGGTTTTGTCAAGGCAGGACATGTGGAGGCAAGACCTGAGCTGGAGTGACATATGGTCCCTGCAAGCAATGCGAGGCTCCTGAGGGGGGCTTGAACAAAGGTGGCTTGATCAGGGGACACCACACACTCCACCCTGCAGGGGACCCATGCCCCCTGACCAGCCCTGGCATGGCCCGCCCCACTAGCGTGCCTTTGGACAGGACTGGGACAGCTCTTGCCACCACCTCCAGCTCTTGTCCAAAGGCGTGGGCTAGGGGGCCAGGCTGGGTGGGGCTGGGTCTTGGGGCCAGGCCCATTCTCCATGAGGGTGAGGCAGCAATGAGTGACCACAGGGCTGAGCTGACAGTGGGCCACGGCCCTCATGGCCCAGCAGGATGCTGCTGCCAGTGCTGGGGGTTGTGTGCCCTAGTGGGTGGGAGGGGTGGCATGTCATAGCCCACCTCACCCCCCCACATCCTGGTTAGTGAAACGGTCAGGGGGTGCTGTAATTTTTCTATGATAAGAAAGCCGAAAGCAAACATGAAAGCATATAGATATTTAGAATTTACTTTATTAGGATGATAGAGGCACTGATAGGCTTCTAAATTGCTTTAAAATTGTAATATATCAACAGAACATTGACCAAGTGATCTAGTGGCCTTTTGTTATATTTGTGGAAGACCATGGATTTTAGAGTAGTTGGAAGAGTGAATTTGGGATTTTTTTAATTGTAGAATGTGCAGTTTTTAAATAGGGAACACTAGGATTCCTGGTAGTGAGGCAAGTGGCAGGACCCAGGCAGAGGAGCCTACTCTGGGCTGGCACACAGGACCCAGCTGGGCAAATGAGGTGTCTGACTTTTTGGCCATTTAGGGCCAGGAGGACATACTTTGACAGTTCAAAGCAGACTGCCATGCTGAGAACATCTTCCAGGCGATATCTGCCCAGATGGTACGGTGGAAGTACAAATGGCAACAGTGCTGCACAAAGGCCAACTGTGCAGCCATGGCCCACTGGCAGCTGGCCCAGAGGTGCAGGCCTCTGCTGCAGCCATGTGGTCCCCATCTGGGTCTGGCAGGCGTGCAGCCTTGGGGTCGCATGCTGTTGTAGATGGCAGCAGGTCATATCCAGGCAGCAGCCCCCACTGCCAGACTGCTACAGTGGGTAGAAGGTGCAGAGAAGTCTAGGTTAGGGCTGCTTCAGCAGCCCATTTGGCGCAAGGGGCTAGTGTCCCCAGGTACCAATTGGCTGGGCCCCAGAAGGTCCTGTCTATTTGTTTCATTCAATTACCATGGGCCCTAAGGCCCACCTAGCTAACTAGTTGCCCCTACTGTATGGGGGCTAATGAATGAATGGAATAACAAAATTCTGGGGACAACAGGGGCACAAAACAGGATGGGGGTGTTGTGTGGGCCAAGGAATTAAAACATGAAAATAAGTGCTCCTGTCTATTTATAACAATCATTTCATGGGCCCTAAGGCCCACCTGGCTAACTATTAACTCTGTGCGGGGCTAAGGAATGGGTGGTACAACTAAATTCTTGAGACAACTAATGAAAAAAGCAACCAGAATAGGAGTGTTGTATGGGTCAAAGGGTCAAAAAATTAAAATAACTGCGTTTGAGGAGGACACTGAGCAGAGCCCCCTCCTGAACTGCACCCACAGGTCCTCAAAGGCATCCAAGGAGCTGGTGGATGCCGCCAACTGGTGCTCTGCCTATAAATGTGCATGGACAAGAGGAAAGTGGCTCCACAGTTCCTGGGCACCATCCCAGCCAGAGCCTCCTTTCTGGTCAAGTACAGGGCCCACTTGGCCAGGCCCAGGATAAGGTTGACCAGGAGGTCCCGGGACTTGGTTGGGCTGTGGAATGGGGTGACCAAAAACAAAAAGGTGGGGGGTGAAATTCAACCAGAACCTCACGAGGAGGTTCTGGAGGTGGGGGGCCTGCAGCCTGGTGCACTCGGGGGTCATGTGTGCCAGGGTCTCCCTCTGCCCACAGAAGGGACAGGAGAATGGGGTATCCATGAAGCTTGCACATACATGCCTGTGGTGATGGCTCCATGGAGGAGGGTGGAGGACAGACTCAGCCACAGGGGTGCCCCAGCCGCACCCTCGCTGAGCAGGTCCTACCACTTGGTGTCTGGGTGGGACTCAAGGGTGGCATGATGGATTGTATGGCACATGAGCGCGTAGAGGTGGCGGTGATGGATGATGGAAAAGTGGACCGGTTTGGTGTCCTCCAGCTGGCTTAGGTGGTGGAGCAAGGAGTGCTGCGAGGCCAGGCAAAGCACCATCCCCATGACAAACTTTGGTGGGCTGGAGGACATGGGTGGGGGGAAGGGACTGCCACTGTGCAGGACCTGGTCAACAAGGGCAAGGGCATTGGGAGGTAGAGCAGATTTCACCTCTTGGACCAGACAGCAGGTCACACATGTCATGGGTAGACCCATGCACGGGGCCAGCATAGTGAGGTCCACCCACTCCTGCGTATCATAGTCCAGGAGGTTTCTGATATGGGTGGCACCAGCCAGGATCAACCTCTGTCGCAACTGGGGTGTCTCTGCTATCAGCACCTCCAGCTGGGGGTTCCAGAGGAGGGGCTCAATGAGCAGGTCAGTGCCCTGGCTGAGTGTTGCAGGGGACCTGGAGGCATAGATCAGCTCCCATGCCCAGAGGAGGTCCTGGTTGAACTCTGGCAACCCTCACAGGTCCTGCAGGGATAAGCCCCACAGGCTGAGGAGCTGCCAATCGTATCGGAAGTGGTGGAGGAAGGTGCGCCCCAGGTGGCCCCATGACACATGGCTACCGACACCATATAGCATTTGCTGCAGGGCCTGAAGGTGCAATGTCAGGACCTGGCTGCACAGGCAAACCAGGACCTGGCCAGCCTCCTGCAAGGGAAGGCTGAAGACCTCTGCAGTGACCCAGTGCTTCCTGGCCAGAACTCCAGTGCCCATCTCTGGAGCCCTGCCAGGACCTCAAGGGGCAGAGGCAGGGTGTGGAAGCAGTGCCAGAGCATAGACAGGACCATCTGGTTCAGCCCCAGCACTCTCTCACACAAGGAGAAACACCTCAGGAGCCCTGCCCATG